AGGTTGTAATAGTCAACCACCATTTTTCCCCTGTAACTTGTGTTAAGTGGACTCAAGGGAGAATTACAATGGCCCCTAAAATAGAAGGAAAGGGAATCTGATGTACTAGTAAGTGACAGCTGGTGCACACAGAAGACTGTGGAGACAGTCGCTCACTGCAGATAAGGCTCCCACACACTCAGAGACGTTATTTGACTCGCTGCCTTCCCACAAGCTGTGATGTCAGGAAGCGGCCAGGTTTTGATTCATGAAGGCTGGAGCCATGAAAGTAATGATGGAGTTAGGACTGAACCCAAGGCAACAGCATGTGGTTCTCCACCGCTGGGGTCGCCACGCAGATGTGCATTACACAGGCATGTTAGCCTCTCTACTGGGGAGGGAGTAGACACTCACGGAAAAGATCTGATTGGCATGACAATCATCTCAGCAACATCCCCAAGTTCCTTTCATGTTCCTCATACATCCTCCTCATTCAAATCTGGCTTGTGACCCAGTCTTCTCTATTTTCTGTCTGACCAAAATTGGCCAAGCTCTTTAGTTCTTCTTGCATCTCTCCATCCAAAGAACCAACCCAGCTTTCCTTATTCCCTGGCTGCTGATGACCTGAGATTTTCAGTGTTTCTCCAGGTCCTCACAGAAAAGTCTAGACTTTAGGATAGCATTTACTGGATCACTTGTTTAAATGTGATCCAATAACTGTGATACCTCTACAAACAATAGAATTTGAAAAGCTTACACTTACCTAAAATGCAAGCTAAAATTTCTAAATTCCATACATATTTTTATCTTATCTAGGCAGTGGGAGAAAGAAGGGTCTGTGAATAAACCAAGAAGGCCTCCTGGGGGGCAGGGTAGGCTCTCAAATTCCATAGAAACATTCCACAACCTGGAAGTTAAAGGGCAGCACTGAGTTGAGTTAAACAGATTCAAACCTGGTATCTTTTCAACTTAAGAGTTCTAAGGCATACATCTGAGCTAGTGCTTCCTCAACCTGCAGAGTGATGTATTGCTTGTTAGTATTTACCAGCTGAGTGATATTTTCAGCTGCTCGTACCACAACTGTTGTGAGCAAGGACCACCATCTGGACATCTAAGTCAGGAAGTCCTGAGTTCTTCTTGTAGCTGAGACAAATGTAGCCTAAACCCTAGTCTCTGGATGCTTCTGATCTAAGTACTACAGGTCAAGAAGAGGAACTGGATGGAGAGAGAGGGAGAAACTTCTCTAGTCAGTGAATTAGATACAGATAATAAATCAAATTCTACACTAAAATATGGCCCCCAGATCAGAAGCATTAACACCAAAGATCCAAGACATAGAAATGTGCTAGAAATGCAAATTCTGGCTCTTATCCTAGACCATGCTGTGGTGGAAGGGCAGCACTCTGTATTTTAACAAGCCTTTTAGGATATTCCGATCATACTGAATTAGGACAGTCATTGCCCCATGAGAAGATCTCCCATAATTTGCCCTGAACACTGATTCTGATCCTCATAGATGTGTCTTATATCGCTCCCTTGTTCTATCTTCAAAAACTGAACTTAGACAGAGGTTCACAGGACATAAATATATAATCCTTATCTGAGGCTTCAATCACAGGTAAGTTGGCACTCTGGCTGGATTTCATCAGAATAAGCTCTTGTTTTTCCACATGGCTCTTACTCTGGATATAACAATTCATTTTAAGATGCTTTCCCAAATTCCTCATCGGTTTTTATCAATGGCCATGGGGACTCCTCCTATTCCCTCTTTCTGTTCCAGGTCTGGTATGGTAAATGCAGAAAAGATAAAAGAAAAAAAAACTGGGGTATATCTTTATTAGTATTAGCTATGATGACAAACTTGGAAAAAAATCTAAGTGTCTATCAAAGGAGAAAATAAAATCATGATATTGATAAAATGGGATGTAAAATCACATGGAAAAACACTCTTTATCACATAACTTTAAGATGATATAACATTTAATTTAAAATTGTTACTGAGAGGATATGTTTTGCAGCACGTGCCAGAAATGCAAACATTCACAGTTTAATGCTCACTTGTCTCGGTCTGTTCCTCCTGCATCTGTCAGAGACCTGGAAGTGAAGCAAGGGAGAGCATCTGGGAAGAGATCAGCCTAGGATGTAAGAATGAAGGTCTGCCGAGGGGCCAGGCCAGAAAAGGCACTATGGTTAGTAGTGAGGCAGGAGTGAAGTGCTTAGGGAGATGGAAAAGTTTTGTTGACAGGTGCAAAGAAGAAAGATAAAGGGATAGAGAAACAGAAAAGATCAAAAATATAGACAGTCTTAAGATGAGGAGCTAAGAAAATTAATGATTAAAACATACATTCTTCCCCTCTTAATAAAGCTGAACTTGGTGAGAAATTCCTTCCCAAGAGCACATGCAAAGCAAAGAGCCAATCTCTCCAATTTAGACAGACTGGCTACTTCCAAGTGATGCTCAAGAATTACTGTGGCAAACTCTTTCAAGATCTGAGGGTGTGACACAATGAGGCTAATGTAATAAGGCTCACTTTACAGATTAGAATGGCAAAGAAAAAAAACAGAATGGCAAAGCATTTCGGACACGAATCCTCCGTGAGACCACCCCTCTTGGTCATCCACACCACATGGGACATTTTTACATTAAATTAAGGCAGACACAGCTGGCCAAAATATGATTCTCAGCTCTCACCTCTTGCTCCCAGTCTGAGCAGACCCTGAGTGAGCAGGAGGCCCCAAGAGTTACATCTCTGAGAAGCCTAGACTATCCCTTGATTTACTGACCACACTCCACCACCTACTCCCAGCTCGGGTGTCTGACATGGTAAATTCAATGGAATCCAAAGGAGAGACTCCCCTGCAGGTTGGGTTCCAAGTAATCTCATCTAGAGTCAGTTAAATATTTCTAAGGGGAGGGGGAAGTTAAGTATAAATAAATCTTTGCTACTCAGACCTCCTGTCAGTTGCTTTCACTGAACATGCAGAAATGTGTAGCCTGCTGCTTTAAATCAGGGCTCTCATCACCTGAGCTCCTAGAAATGTGATAAATACCAAAGTGCCCTAAGGACTGTTTAAGAAAGAGAGAAATAGAGAATGAGTTTTCTAGTTGTATATCTACGTTTATGCTTATTGCTCTTATGCTCTCTCTTTAGTTGAGAGCTCAGCACCTTGACCGTTCTGTCCTAAATGGAAGCATCTATTTCAAAACTGTGAAACTTCACATTTTCTTATAAAATAAGAAAATTCTACATTCTTATAAAAGAGAACTAAAATTCCAACCATTTAGTCTTTTAAACTTTAGATAAAAGTATAGGATGAAGTCTCACTATTTCCCCACTTTCTGTCCGGGTCACAACTAGCATGCTTGTTTGCATCCTAACTTTTTTTTTTTTTGCAGCACTGGACACTGGAGTTTGAACTGAGGACCTCATGCTTGCTAGGCAGGCCGTCTTACTGCTTGAGCCACTCCTCTAGCCCAAAGCTCTTGTTCTAGCTTCAGTGCTGTGCTGGTCTTTCTATGTATGTTTTTTTTTTTTTTTTTTTTTT